GTGTTAATGAATAACTTTTCAAGGCCGTGTAAATTGGAATCTTCAGATACCAAATGGCAAATAACGCAAATTCTGGTTAAAAAAAATATTTTTAAAAATTTAAATGGGGATATATTTATCAAGCTTATTAAGTTAAACCGGAATTTTTTTCTCAGTTCCTTTTAATTATATATATTTTTCCTGAGGATTTTCTCTAGAGAAATTTAGTTTTCGACTAAACTAATTTCCTCTACCATTTTAACATTGTTAAAAAATAATTGCATCGATACCTTTTTTAATTATTTCCTTTCAGGAAATTATATATTAGGAACTTTCTTTTCTACATATAATTTCCCAGAAGGAAAAAGCTTTAAAAGATAAATAAACTTGTCCCAGCATTAAAACTCGTTGCAATTAAATTTCAGATTTACGTTGCATCACGTTTCTTAAATTAATTATTAAAAACGAAACGCGGCAGCCTTGTGAATTAAGTGATAATAAAACAGGATATCTTATCCAAACATAAATTTAAATGAATTGCTTAGGCTGTCGAACACATAAAAAATTTTGAAAAAATTACATGTAATTAATTTCCATATCAGCTGAAAAGAATGATTTTGCTATGGTAAGGAGCAGCCACCCTGATCTGCATAGAGGTTAGTGACGCTGGTTGCAGCATTCTTAAATGCGGTTTCGCATCCCGGAGAAAGGTTGAGTGTTTAATTACGTATCCTTTCGTTTACTAATCCACCGAAAATCGAGAGGGGAAATTATAGGAAAAATTTAAAATCCGAAAGGCACGTTACATAAGAACAGTAAGAATATAGTAAATACCATTTAATATACACTCATGTCCATAAATTAAGGATAATTCGGAGTCACGCGGAAATCGAATTCTAAAATAAATATAGTACCTGTAAAATCACTACACACATCTTCAAGAATCATATGCAAGTTTCAGGAAGTAACCAGATGACACCGACGGTACGTCACAATGACGAGAGTGTAAGAGAATGATATATAAGGAATACAGGCAAAGAAGTAAAATTGTTCGCAGGCGCTTTATAAGCATTTCATTGCAATAACCGAATAGTTATGACACAAAGGACGTATTTGGATGATTTTTTACGTGGTAGAATTATCGGCCGTCTGGAATGTGGGCGTACTCAACTGAAAGTATCAGACGAACTTGGGATTGCCCTCAGTGTAATCTCCAGGCTTTGGCAACGATTCCAAGACGATGGTTATGTGAGTAGACGTTACAGCACAGGTCGCCCCAGAGTTACAACGCCGAATGAGGACCGGTATTTGGCAGTTACTACCAAAAGAAACAGGCGGAGCACAGCCTCAGACTTGTCTCGTCAGCTCTCTTCAGGCACTGGCACGACAATTTCAAGGCAGACACTGTACTGACGCTTAGGGCAGATTGGTCTATATGCACGTAGACCTGTCAGATGCGTTCCACTTACTGCAACTCACTTTCGCCTGAGGTTAGCCTGGAGTAGAGAGCATGCATTGTGGACACCGCAACAGTGGAATTGTGTGATGTTTTCCGACGAGTCCAGGTTTAGCTTGCAGTCTGATTCTCGCCGGACTTACATATGGAGAGCTCCAGGTACCCGTTACCACCAAGAAAACATCATTGAACGACACCGTTACGATGGTGCAGGAGTGCTCGTTTGGGGTGGAATTATTCTGGGTTCCAGAACTGACCTGCATGTTCAAATTGGAACCATGACAAGCCAAATCTATCGGGACGTCATTCTGGAACAACATGAACGTTTGTTGCGGGGCGCCACGGGCGCACAATTTGTATTTATGGATGACAACGTCCGTCCTCACCGTGCAAACATCGTAAGCGAATGCCTTCAGTCGGAGGATATCACCAGTATGGACTGGACTGGCCAGCATTCTCACCGGACATGAATCCAGTAGAGCACGTGTGAGACATGCTTGGCCGATGAGTTGCAGCCCGTCAACCTCCTCCTACATGTCTACCGGAACTTCGGAGAGCATTGCTTTTTGAGTGGTTTGATCCCCCAAGATCAGATCAATAATTTGATACTCAGCATGCCTAGGCGTTGTACGGACTGTATTGCATTGCCTGTGAGACATACAATGTATTAACAATCATACCAACCACGTAATATTGTTTTTTTGTAAATAGTTTTTTTTTTTTTTTGTAATTTGCTCCAGGGAGAAAAAATCGCTAATTTTTTTTAATAATATCAAACATATAGCATTTTTTTTTTTTTGCTCTTTACCTTTTGTTTAATAAATAAGCTTTACAAATAAGTCAAATTTGTTTTGCTTCTAACTCTTCCTTTGCCTGATTTTGCATTATCCTTAATTTATGGACATGAGTGTATATATATATATATTTGTTAGATAAGACGCTCCTTATGATGTAGATCTCTGGAATGGGATCTAGATACTGACTTTGTTTGCGTAGTCTGAATTCATAGGGTGATTATGGGACAGAATTACATCTTGTCGTAGGTTTAGCACTCTTGTATTGATGGCCTTTTCTTTGTGTTGTACGTAGATCATCAAAAATTCCAGCCGAGTTCAGCAATGCTGGGAGCTTTTCATGAACTTCAGTTACCAGTAGTGTGCCCATTTTCTTTGGATTTTCAGAAGCTTCTTTTTCATGGTGTTATTAGTATTAAGACTTAGGCCGAATCTGCACGACTATAGGTTCAGTAACTGTTTCATATCAGGTCTTTAGTAGACTGGGGCTGACTACACAATACTTTAAAGTGGTGCGTTACAGTTGAATGTTGAAATTTTATTATTAAGATATTCAATATGAGATTTCCAAACAATGTTTTCACCTAAAGTATTTTAAACTACACCGGTTATCATCAATTAAGGAAAAATCACAAAAACGGAAATTATTCAAAATGTTACAGGTATAATTTAGTGAAATTGATTCAAACTGTACAACACTTAATTAGGCATACAGTAACGTGAAAAAAATACTAAACTATTGTTTTGCTACAGAAAATGAGCATATGTATATAATGGACAAATCGAACATGTAAGTTTGATATAGAAAAATTACCTTCAGTATGAAATATTGTTTCCCCTAAAAGCAAGGCAGAGCACAAAGCGATGCGTGATGCTGTGAATTATACGGTCTATCAGTTCCGTAGAGAGTGAGAGCCATTGCTCTTGCAATGCAGTTGGAAGAGCAATGGCAAAGCAAGAGCAACAAAATTGCGGGAAGCGGGGCAAAGGTTTGAAGAGAACGATTGAGATCAACTATGCGTTTTTCTAAAGCATCCCAAGCATCTTCATTAAGATTCAAGTCCGCTGATCGAAGTGGCAACTCCATGCGCTGAATTTGTTTGCTGCTGAAGATAAGCATCCTCGATGACAGCCCTGTGCAGTGTAGCGTTGTCGACCTGTAGCAGGAAGTCACCGCCTATTGCTCCGGCATAAGAGGACATATATACATCAAAGATGTAATTTTTGTAGGTCTGAGAATTCGCGGTTACACCTGGAAAGACATGAATGCCTGTGTATCCAATCAAAGACATACCACCCCAAACATAGGAGACTGCCTCCTCCGTATGCATCTCTTTCACGGATGACTGATGTATGATGACGGGTTCCAGGTTTACTCTCTAAATCAAGAAAACGCCTATTATCGCTTAGGAGGCTAAATTTGGATTCATCTGTAAAGAGAATAGCTCTCTATTGATCAGTCTTCCAGTGGACGTGTTTCCGTACTTACCTCAAACGTTTCCTTTTATGATGAGACGTGAGCAGCACGTAAATGGCCAGCCGCCTAGCGTAAACGTCTTTCTTGAAGCCTTCAAAGCACTGTTGGTGTTGACGCTAACCTTCCGTGGGCTGCAACAAGGAAGGAACTAAATTGAGTCGGTGATGTGGCCCTATTCCTTTTCTTGCAGTTTATCACTGGGCTTCTGGTTTCGGGTTCTTACATATGGTTTATTTTGAATTGAATATGCAATGAATTTAAAACGTATTACTTATTTTAATTTATTTTGAATTATATATACGTAAATAAAAATTATGAAAGACAGTCACTAACAAATTTAATTACCTTATAGACGTTTAAATTCCTAATGTCAATCTAAAGACAACCCCGCTTCGCATCTGCATTGATGCCTGTAATATTCCGCAATGCGAAAGCTCTTGCCCAGTCATCACTCAGGATTAAAACAATGAAGCCAGGCATATAAATCCTACTGCAAATAACTACAGATGTTCTTTTGACGCCTAGACTTTTTTTAAATGGCCTCGCTTCACTCAGCCGCATTCACCATTGTTTAAAATGTAACTGGTGATACAAAATTGCGGGAAGCCTGTTGCAGCCATAATCATGTATGAATCAAGTTTTGTGTCTTCAGAATTGCTTTACTGGTAATAAAATTAAGTTGAATTTGGCGACCTCTGTCTGCAAGTCCATCATTCCATCTACCCAGTAAACATGCCCAAGTTACATCTACGGAATAAACCATTACCAATCTATCTATCATCAATAAGCTATCATCTGTAAAGTTATCTCGGCTATAATTAGAAGGGGAATTAATGTCTTCCGTAAATGTAACGGCGTGTATAAAATTGTAGGACGTTTAGAATCCGCGTTTTGTACCAATCAAAATAATAAGTTTCTAAACAGTTGTTCCCGTTCAGATATAAAAATGAATTTTTAATCTTCATGATGGCTGCAGCTGAGTGAAGTTGCGCGGTTATACATTGTAACGCTATCACCGTGCCCTCCACAACTACGACTAAATTGGTTCTTTCATCATTTTATATATATATAAACACATACATATGTATAAAACAATTAAAGTCATCAAGCATGTAAAACGTATTTCCATTCATTATGTAGAATGTTAGTAAATAAAGGTACCTAGTTTTGTTTGACAATGCTTTGAATTTATTGTATTTTCTTTAGAAGGACTTGTAATTTGATATATGTTTATTAAAGAAATTTTTATTTTGAAGTTCATAACAATTACGTTATTAAATTATTTTCATTGCAGAGCCATTCTGTGAGCCAGCTTGGGATTCTTTCTTATGTTGGCCCCCTGCAGCAGCTGGAGAAACTTTATTTCGCCCTTGTCCACTTTTGGATTCTATGGGTATTATAATTGGAGAAACTACACAGCCAGGTGTGTAATTTTCAAACAGCTACTTACAAACCTAACTAAAAGTTTTTTTTTACTCTTTTATTTAACCAATGAAATATTAAACTTCTTCTTATCTGTCACCGTCTTCTGTTAGCTTTAATGATAAAAATACCTGGACAAAATGGAGTAAGAAACTGTTTTAATAACTACCAGCTGAGACTAAATATTTGATCAGAATCTTTGCCATCATAAAACCTCCTTGTCTAAATCATTATCTGCTTAGTTACTCGTGATTTTATAGAGCAATGAATTTAAATTATTCCTTAGCTCTTTGTCTTCTTCTTTAATGTTAGAATTCCAGCTGTTTTATTATTTTAGGGAATCCAAATTCATGAAATTCTCACTGTCAGTTTCTTAAAGAATTATACTGATTTATCCAGTAAAGTCTTCGCGTTTGTTTCGGGATCATCCAAGTGTAGACTTTATTGAAAAGACGGTGTAACGAATTCTTGCTGTGTCTTTGAAGAACAGGTACTGCAGAAGATAGTTTAAATAACCTTTTTATTTAAACTAAGCTTAACAATGATTGCACTCACTTGGTGCTCACAATTACCACTACTTGAGGCTAAGTAACTCGAAAAGAAAATAAAAATGTAAAATCACAATAAGGTAAGATGGGCTACACGACTGGCTCCTTAATTATCTCAACCGCTAAATTGGCTGCACACAACAAAGCCGAATCTAGAATATCAATATAATCTAAAGAGAGTGGCTAAGCACCAATTATTCACGTACAAAGCTACTTCAAACACGCGGCATCAATTCGGAACTTATTCTTCTACTTCTGCTCTTAAAACCACTGCTTGAATACTGACTCTGAACTCAATTAGATTTGCATACTACGTCATTAAAATTTACATTCTGGCAGGAAACTGAAATCAGAAGAGAAAGAAAAGTTTTACAAACTAAATTCAATTGGTTAGAATAATATAAGGTCTTTACAACCCAAGAATCCGTTTTTATATACAGTCTACTACAACAGCTGTTTATCAAGGTTTCGATTTATTAACAGCTTAAAAGTAGAGAGAACACAAGATTGTCACAAATAATCACCAGATCTTGTTCTCTCTTACTATAGTCAGTTACTTTAAAATTGGCGCTTGAAGGCCCTTTCTAGCTCCTTCCCCTACTATGCGCGATCGCAACTCGTGTCTTTGTCATCACATAAAAAGAATTAGAAGAAATTAGCAAATTAGAGGATTCGAACTTTTCTCCGCAGCAGTCGTTACCACAGTTACGAGTCAAACTGGGTGGCGGAAAATAAACTTGAAGTTATTATTTTAACTCTTGCACAAAGAAGTCACCCGCATCACCTGTGCATTCAGACTACAGCAGGTCGCCAGAACGCCCACGTCCATTTTCTATTTGGTGCTTTGTCCATTATGTTAGGCATGGATTATTGGTTTCGAGAAATGTTAAACGACATGCCAATAATTTTTTGAAGCGACTTAAGTAGCTCTGTTATTTGAAAACACCTTCCCTCTCCTTTGTTTAGGGCCTACCTTTAGCTATTGATTTTCGCCGTTACAGTCCTGCCGTAAGGGGTAACTGACACAGTGGGTGAAACCGTATGAAGATACTCAAGAGAGAAGCTGTTTTAGTTGGAATTTTAGATATAAATGAGACCACGGTGCATCAAGGTAAACCATAAATTCACCTCCTTGACTGAGGTACTAATAGAAGGATTTAGTCAATTACAAAGAACATATAAAAAGAAAATGAACAATTAGAATACTAATTTGTGTTAAAATAACACGCCGAATAACGATTATTGGAGGAGTTAAAAACAAGAAGAATCAGCGTAATATTCATAACTTTGGAGGATTAATTTCGAAGTTTTAAACATAGAACCTGCATCTTCGGCTCCAGAAGTGCAAAAGACGAAACAGAAGCCAGTCATAAGACAAGAGAAGGTGATAAAATGAGTGGAATGAAGGTAAGCTACTGGAAACATTTTACACTAGGAATAGCTTGGTTACAATTACTGGCTACAATAGCTTGATTTCCTTCCACTTATTCATATCGCCTTATCTTATCATTGGATTCTGTTTAGTTATTTTCCTTTCTTCAGTTGAAGAAGAAGGTTCTATATTTAAATCTTCAAAGCTAGGTCTGCAAATTTATTAATATTACGCTGATTTTTATCGCTTTAGCTCCTCCTCTACTTAAAAACTTTTTTTTTTAAATTTCAGTAGTTAAATTTCGGTAACGCTAATTTATTATTCGTATAACCATAACAAAATATACAGAGAAAATTAATTTTCAAAACAAAATAGTATAATATACTGCGGATTTAATATTTTGTTTAAAGACACAATATCGAAAATATTCCCACAAGCAAACTGGACCATATGTAGTATTTAAATTGCCAAAGGACTTAAATTTAGTTAGAGGAGTTAAAATGTTCACCTTATTTAAAATTTCAGTTAGTAAAATATTAGGTGAAGTTACAAAAATAAAAGTTACTACCACAATTAACACAGTGGATTGCTTAAATAACGTTTCCTTCTACTTTTGTAATCTTAAAAATATTTTATGCATTTTATAACTCATGATTTCTTCATTATAATGTGCTCTAAGGCATAAATTTCTAAACAATGTTTTACGTCGAATGAATTGCAGTCTCCTGAATGTTGCAGGTAAATAAAATTTAAATAGTATATTTGCAAAAATATGACACCTTCCCTCGTTGCTTCTTTTTTTATCGCCTTAGTGAGTTTAGTTCTCCTTCGTTATAACGCAGGACCTGAGGTAATAACAGATTAAACTGACTTATTATAAGAATATACACATTTTATTGATATTAGGTAACGTCACAATAAAGAAGCAAATATTTGCATAAATTGAAGAAATTGCTTTCATAAAATATTCGATAATTAATTTCAAAAGCCTTTAGACTTAATTTTAGTCCAAAATTTATCTAAATGAAACGCCAAAAAGTTAAATAGTAAGGTTAAAAATATAAATGAATAAGAGAAAAAATAAAATTTTTTTAAGTAAATGATCTTATGAAATTTCATTTCAGAAGATTATTTTTGAAAATTTTTACATATTTAAAATTTGTAAAATTTCGTTCAAAAATCCAGTTTTTACCTACTTGCATTTCATAATTTTACAAATTTCAGTACTGTTCTGTTACAGGCACTGGATTCAGATATTGCCCAAAGCTGACGATTTGGTGAAGCATTCGAAGCATAAAAATAATCACCAAAATATTCACGACGGAATTAAGTTGAAGAAACGTCCAAAAGAAACAAAACATAATATGTATTTGCAAAATTAGAAATTAATGTAGGTTAAATAGCTTCCCAAAGACATCAGGAAATTAAAAACAGTTATCGAATTAAGATTAATGCAGAAGAATGAAACTGCGGATATAATTTAGAAAGTGTGAAAACGTTTGCATTTTAGGACGCTGCTGCCGCTTCTTAAACTTAATTAAATACAAATCTAATTAGTTATGGTCAATGCCACGTTGACGTTTATTTCATCACTTCTCACTGCTTCATAACTTTGTACCTCTGTAACTATAACCTTCAGCTGTCTCACGTTCTTACAATGTACTACATGTAGTCTAGCCCTTGTATGACCATGTAAACTTTTGTTTTTAAGATCCTAATAAACTCCCGGGGCGGCCTCATGGGGCTTCAGGGAGTTGTTGCCTCTAGATAGTGGAGGACGCGGGGCATATGTCTTTTTACACCAGGCACCCCCGTCCTCCGTCACCTGTCACCTGCTCCATAACTTTCCAATGGTTTATGTCTGACAACCTAGTATCGAGATCCATAAAATTATATTTATGTTTAAAGCAGAAATGTTAAATTCTGGCTTTTCTTTATTGAGTGTTATACCCTTTGCAGCGGTCTGTGTATATTATAGCACCATCAATAATATTTTCTTCAATAACTTTAAGTAAAGTTCTGGCAAACCGTTTAAGCATAGAAACTAAAAAACATTTCTTTGTTTCTCGGCAAAGCCGCACTGCGGCGCACTGCGGCGGAAAAAGCAGATATTCGTCAGTTTTGATAATATTACCATACCATCTATTTTAACTGATGGCTTAGACATTAACACATGGCCACAAACTTCCCTTAAATAACTTCCAGTCAACAACAGTAAAATAATTCATATCAAGTTGATACTGACAAAATTCAAAGGAAATTATGCATAAATGAAACGAATCTCTGTTAAGAAACTGATTCCCTGTTCTTCAAACCAGTTTTGAGAACATAATCCTACGTTTTTATCGGCACATCATATCTTTACACCTGCCTTTTGGTACATCATCGAATCGAAGTAGAGCTTCATTTTATGGTTTTTGGTGCATTTCTTTCAGAGTTAATAATTCTTCAATCCTGAAGAAATTGTACGGAATATGCTTCATCATTACCCCAAAATCATGAAGTCCAAAATTTTCATATCTGTGGTAAATACAATAATATTAAAAATACATCTTTAAAAGAAACACCACTTTTTCTTCATTACACCCTTAGAATTTGTACTCTTGATGAACAATTTTGAAAAAAGTGTACTTTTACTTATTTTAAATAGTGTAAAGAACGCTCCTGAACTCTACTAGAAAGACCTATGATGCTCTTGACTAGAGAGAACGTCGTTAGCAAACTCCTCACACTACGAGTACTGTAATTCCTTTTAACACCTTATTTAAAGAACTGTGAATGGCAACGACTTAACTGAGAATTACGCATGCGTAAAGAGATGAGACGCCTGTCAGAGAGAGAGTGCTGGGAAGCTCCGCCAGCGTGAGCTTGAGGTGTGGAGACTAAATGTTCGTCGAGTGATGACGAGTACCATCTTCTTCTTCGTTAACGTCTCTGATCGTGTCACCAAACTCGGATATCTACTAAAGTTTTCTTAAATGTTATTAATTAAATGTTGTATGTGTGATATGTTGCTGTGAATTAAAAAGTGATGCATCACCACTACCAGTGTTGATTCCGTTCCCACTGAAGCATCCACGA